GATGACAAAAGTGTCATCTACGTACCTCTTCCATAAGGTCGAGCGTCGAGTGGCAGTCTGGATGGCGTCAATCTCAAATTTCTCCATGAACACGTTGGCTACAACCGGAGATAGGGGGGAGCCCATTAGGGTGACCTCAGTTTGCTTGTAGAAAGTTCCATTCCAGGTAAAGTATGTATTGGTTAAGCAGTGTCTCACCAGGGGGGGTACCCCAGCATTCAGTCCTTGATGAACCAAGTCTTCAATGATTGCGATGGTGTCAGGTACAGGAACTTTGGTGAATAAGGAAACCACATCAAAACTGACAAGCAGGTCGTCTGGGGACAGGGAAATCCCCTTGATTGTCGATACCAGGTCAGTAGAGTTTAGTACCGCAGGTGGTTTTTCCAGTGAAAGGCCATAGGATTTCAGACAAAAAACGAGCCAGTTTGTTGGTGTGGGAGTTGATAGTAGAGACAATGGGACGAATAGGTGTATCTTCTTTATGTATCATTGGCAAGCCGTATAATCTTGGTGGCCTGGCTGCAGAAGGTTCCAACGAGAACTGTTTGGTCTGATCAATTAATGCGGTTGAAGCAGAAATGATTTTGTTGGTTTTAGAGACGAGGCTGTTGGTGGGGTCTATTTTTATTTTTGTATAGCTGCCATCGTTGAGTAGTTCTTGAATTTAGTTGTATTTTATTTTGTCCATGATGACAGTGGCATTGCCTTTGTCGGCTGAGAGGATGACAATGTCATCCCTATTTTTTTATTGAGCTAATTCAAAACGCTCATCTTTGCTGATGTTGCTAGCTGGCATCTTAGCGTTTTTGAGGGTTGCAGAGATTTCAGATCTTGCTACGTCTGCAGCGATGTGACTCAGGCCCTTGAGAGCTACATCTACTCTAGCAATTATATCATTAACTGGTATGTGTCTAGGTGTGACTGCAAAGTTTAGTCCTTTAGCTAAAACGGATTTCAGACCTTCAAAAATAGAACTGTTATTGCGATTAAGTACGACTTTATTAACGTCTAGCTTTTCAATGTGTGGGTCCGGTCTCTTGTTTGAGAGGCGGTTGAATTTGGAAATCATTTGGTCGACATAGCGGCAGCGGAAGAGGCAGTCATCTTGTCTACATGTTCCCAATCCGATGTGGACATTGTTGCACTCAAAGATAAGTGTGATTTGTAGAGTGTCTTGTCTAACTGATCTAGATCGGTGCGCGTAAATCTGATTTTCTCTGAGATAAGAGCTAAGCTAGTTCTAGACAGAATTCGTTTAGCATTATCTCAGAGAAAATCAGACTTACGCGCACCGATCAAGATCAGTTAGACAAGACACTCTACAAATCACACTTATCTTTGAGTGCAACAATGTCCACATCGGATTGGGAACATGTAGACAAAATGACTGCCTCTTCAGCTGCCGCTATGTCGACCAAATGTAAGGACAACTTGATTTCCAAATTCAACCGCCTCTCAAATAAGAGACCGGACCCACACATTGAAAAGCTAGACGTTAACAAAGTCGTAATTAATCGCAGTAACAGTTCTATTTCTAAAGGTCTGAAATTCTTTTAGCTAAAGGACTAAACTTTGCAGTCACACCTAGACACATACCAGTTAATGATATAATTGCTAGAGTAGATGTAGCTCTCAAGGGCCTGAGTCACATTGCTGCAGACGTAGCAAGATCTGAAATCTCTGCAACCCTCAAAAACGCTAAGATGCCAGCTAGCAACATCAGCAAAGATGAGCGTTTTGAATTAGCTCAATTAAAAAAGAGGGATGACATTGTCATCCTCTCAGCCGACAAAGGCAATGCCACTGTCATCATGGACAAAATAGAATACAACAACAAAATTCAAGAACTACTCAACGATGGCAGCTATACAAAAATAAAAAGAGACCCCACCAACAGCCTCGTCTCTAAAACCAACAAAATCATTTCTGCTTCAACCGCATTAATTGATCAGACCAAACAGTTCTCGTTGAAACCTTCTGCAGCCAGACCACCAAGATTATACGGCTTGCCAAAGATACAAAAAGAAGATACACCTCTTCGTCCCATTGTCTCTACTATCAACTCCCCCACCTACAAACTGGCTCGTTTTTTGTCTGAAATCCTACGGCCTTTCACTGGAAAAACCACCTCTGCGGTACTAAACTCTACTGACCTGGTATCGACAATCAAGGGGATTTCCCTGTCCCCAGACGACCTGCTTATCAGTTTTGATGTGGTTTTCTTATTCACCAAAGTTCCTGTACCTGACACCATCGCAATCATTGAAGACTTGGTTCATCAAGGACTGAACGCTGGGGTACCCCCCCTGGTGAGACACTGCTTAACCAATACATACTTCACCTGGAATGGAACTTTCTACAAGCAAACTGAGGGCACCCCAATGGGCTCCCCCCTATCTCCGGTTGTAGTCAACTTGTTCATGGAGAAATTTGAGACTAACGCCATCCAGACTGCCACTCGACGCCTGACCTTATGGAAGAGGTACGTAGATGACACTTTTGTCATCTGGCCACATGGCCGGCCTGCTCTAGACCAATTTCTCGACCACATCAATTCCATACACCCAGCCATCAGATTCACCATGGAAGTCGATGGCAAGCTACCCTTTTTGGATGTCCTAATTAAAAGGAGACTTGATGGTTCAATGAGCCACTCTGTCTACAGGAAAGCCACCCATACGGATGCTTACCTAAAACCGGATTCCCACCACCATCCATCCCAGAAGAATTCCCTCATCAAGACTCTATACCATAGAGCCCAATGCATATCCGACCAGGAACACATTGCCAGTGAACTCAAACACGTACGCCAAGCTCTTAAGGCTAATGGTTACTCCGACTACACAATCCGCAAAGCCATCACTCCAACCATCAAGAAGGATCCTGTTGAGGAGCCTTTCAAGACCATCACCTTACCCTACATTGCTGGGGTCACAAAAAAGATCTCCAAAATCCTGATAAAACACAAGATCCAGGTCCGATTCAACACAGTACATAAAATCCGTGATCTGGTCCCGTCTGTAAAAGATGTGGTTCCAGACATACAGTACCCTGGCGTCTACAAACTAAGTTTCCTCTGTGGTAGCAGTTACATTGGAAAAACCAAACGACATGTCTCGGACCGCATCCGTGAACATAAAGCAGACTTGAAACACGGTAGGACAAACACCTCAGCCGTGGCAGATCACCGTTACAATTCAGTGGGCTCACATTATATTGACTTCTCCAAGACAGAGGTTCTCTGCAAGCCATCTGGCTACCATGAGAGATTCGTTCATGAGGCGATTCACATATACAAACACAGAGACAATTTCAACCGAGAAGATGGATTCTGGCTTAGCAATCATTGGAAGGACGTAATAAACCATTTCGGATCTTAACTGATTGTGTTCACGTTTACGGTGACTTTCAGACCGCGTTCCACTCACTGGAATTGTATTCTCCGCAGGGAATGGATTCTTTGCTCCGCTGCAAGTTTCCTTCCCTACTCACCCATTGACATATTTCGTTGCTTCCTCTTAGTATCTTTCACACGACGGTCAATGGTACAGTGTATAATAACAAATAGTATAACATTTAGATGCTTAATACAATGTACAAAGTAATATATAGTATCGTAATTGTATAGGCAATATACAGCAGTGTGATATACATTAGGGTGGGTAGAATAATACATAGTGTAATATTACAATGTCTAAGGTATAGGGTGGTTTATAGCAATACAGTATATAATTTAATGTTGGGTTTGTCTATGGCAGTATATAGTACGGTGTAGACTCGTGTGATGTAAGAGAATAAAGTTTAGATGGAAGCATATAATATATTTTTCATGACGTAGAATTGTAATGTATTACTTACTGTTAGTAACTCAGCTTATTGTAGAGTATATTTAGTATACTGATGATACTATGTAGGTTATACTTTAGTTGTTTACGTGGTGGTTTTAGTTACTGCAGCTACATACTATTAACACTCCTTCCCTTTATTAATGCTACCCCTATCCCCTCCCTTTGATGCTGCTAATCCTGCATAATGCACGGACATAAGTAGTACTATTCAAATACCTGCATTTCCCATATCCCCTCCCTTTGATGCTGCTAAGTCTGAATAATGCACGGGCATAAGTAGTACTAATCACATACCTGCATTTCCCATATCCCTTCCCATTGATGCTGCTAATCCTGCATAATGCACGGTCATAAGTAGTACTAATCACATACCTGCATTTCCCATAAAAATGCTAAATTCCTCTTGATATGCATATTCTTTTGTCAAGGCGCCCTTTTCCCCCCTTCCATCCCAGCTTATATATATGCTCCAAGCACGTGTGCTGTTTCATTCAGACGCTGTCGCCTCGACAAACCTGGTTTTCACCTGAGGACGGCTGCTTGCGTTGTGGCCGAAACGTCGTGAGAATTGTTTTACGATGTTTTATTTTTATTATTTTATTACTTCCCTTCTACGTGACTTTACCGAAAGAACCAAGACTTGGAGAATATCTGCAAAGAGGAGTGGGACAAAATCCCTCCTGAGATGTGTGCAAACCTGGTGGCCAACTACAAGAAACGTCTGACCTCTGTGATTGCCAACAAGGATTTTGCCACCAAGTACTAAGTCATGTTTTGCAGAGGGGTCAAATACTTATTTCCCTCATTAAAATGCAAATCAAGTTATAACATTTTTGACATGCGTTTTTCTGGATTGTGTTTTTGTTATTCTGTCTTTCACTGTTCAAATAAACCTACCATTACAATTATAGACTGATCATTTCTTTGTCAGTGGGCAAACGTACAAAATCAGCAGGGGATCAAATACTTTTTTTCCCTCACTGTAAACCCAAAACCCTATAAACCCCTAACCCTCTGAACCCCTTTACCCTTAAACCCCTTTACCCTGAAAACCCGAACCCTCTAAAAACCCCTAACTCTCGAATCCCCTCAACCCCTGACACTCTCAACCCCTAAACCCTATAACCCTCGAAATCCCGAAACCTCTAAACCCCTTATCCCTGAAATAACCCGAAACCTCTAAACCCTTAACTTTATAAATCCCTAACCCTCTAAACCCCTAACCCTTTGTGTGGAATGTGGTGGGGATGGGATCATGGGGTGGGTGGGTGCAGGGTGTGTGTGGTGTGCGGTGGGTAGTGGGTATCACAGGGGGGTGAATAGGTGCAGGGTGTGTGTGGTGGGTATGGTGATAGTGGTCGTGGTTCACAACGATCCGTGACCACCACCACCACCTCTACTGTGTGGTGGACCGGCCACCACACAGCAGCACGCGTCGGAGGAGTGAACGGATGGTTCTCGCTATGCGGGCCAGACGCCCTCGCTTCCTCTTCTCCTCCTGCATCACCATCACCTGATCCTCTGTCCTTGTCATCTCCTTCTCCACCATCTTCTCCACCAATGTCTCCTCCACCTGCACCACCATCTCCTCCACCAAGGTCTCCTCCTCCTGCACCACCAGATCCTCCACCAGGATCTCCTCCTCCTGCACCACCAGCTCCTCTATCAGGGTCTCCTCCTCCTGCACCACCAGCTCCTCCACCAGGGTCTCCTCCTCCTGCACCACCAGCTCCTCCACCAGGGTCTCCTCCTCCTGCACCACCAGCTCCTCCACCAGGGTCTCCTCCTCCGGCACCACCAGCTCCTCCACCAGGGTCTCCTCCTCCTGCACCACCAGCTCCTCCACCAGGGACTCCTCCTCCTGCACCACCAGCTCCTCCACCAGGGTCTCCTCCTCCTGCACCACCAGCTCCTCCACCAGGGTCTCCTCCTCCTGCACCACTAGCTCCTCCACCAGGGTCTTCTCCTCCTGCACCACCAGCTCCTCCACCAGGGTCTCCTCCTCCTGCACCAACAGCTCCTCCACCGGAGTCTCCTCTTCCTCCACAACAACCGTCAGCCATTTAGAGGCCTGGGCAAGCGCGGAGGATGGGGGCAGCGCCGGCTCCGCTCTGTAGAGAGATGCGCACGACACTGTTCCAACTTCCTGCTACAGCAGAGATCGCACTCCCCCCCCCCCCCCCCCCCCCCACCATCGTGCGGAGATAGATTAACCAGGTTAATAACGATGCTGCAGTAACACAGAATACCTTTGCCCATCGTGGGTCTGGTTACAAAATGGGCATTAGTCTTGCGATATCACACTGGATGAAAGGCTACATGGCAAAGATATGGCTGCTTCATTATTTGTCCTCACCCAGAACCCAATTATAAAAATACATCCGTATATAACCGAATGTACACGTGGGGTTTGAACTGTACATGTGTTCGTTTGCAGGCGGCAGGGCTGGAACTCCCAGTCAGAGGGACCTGGGTTTGATGCCCAAACTTGGGCCACTTTCTCCATGTGGAATGTGGAAAATTACACTGGTCAACACTTTTTCTGGCATAAGGTATTCCAACGGTTTTAATGTAATTTTGGGGTGCTGATTACATATCTGGCTTCAGTTTTTGTCTATCACATCAGGTTTTTGAGATCTCAAATATTGCACTTTCAATAAAAACTACAGAAGAAAAATATTAAATAAATGTGGATATCTACATAAAATGATATTATAAACACACTATCCTAAAAATACAGCACCATATTTTAACACTAAAGCAGTCACTGAATCGCAACAACTTGCAATCATAAGTGACAGAGTTAATTTCGGATAAAATCAATGAAAATGGGGTATGCCGATAGCATAAAAATGAGATGTGATCGAGCTAATCTGAGATCAGATTTGTAATCAGCACACTGAAATTAGTCTAAAACAGCTGTAAAAGTCCAGGCCAGAAAAACATGTTTTTTGTTGACCAGTGTTATTTAGACTGGATGAAGAGGAATCCGATATGCAGTCGAGGCACAGGGTCAGCAAGTTACAACAACAAACATAAGAAAATGAGTGCAATGTGTAAAAATGTAAGCAAGTCCCGAAATAATTGAGCATATAAGCACAAAGTACGCAAAATCCTGCCAGTTTTTCAACACTAAATACAAACTTGGGCAAGGCAGCAAAACATCAACAAGAACAGCCCCAGACCTCACCAAGACAACACACAGTCCCTCAATAAAATTGTACATTAAAATGTAACTTTCATTCCTTGGGGTTTGGCATTTTCCTCCATGTAACCGAACCCTGACACACACGCCACACAACCAGTGTTGGATGGACATCCTCGGCAGTGTTAGAAATTGAACCCCCAAATCACTCAATAGGAATCGCATAGCAGCAGTAGCAAAAGCAAATTTGTTCTGTACTGCAAACAACTTGGCAGGACTCTAATTAAAAAGAGTCTTGAGACTGAGTGAGGCTCATGCTGGCTAAATAAGGGTAGTAGTAATCAATATAGAGCCGGGTACGGTGTACTGGGGAAACCGCCCCGGGCACCGTGCTTCTGGCAGCCCTGTGCTTCGAGGTCACGGTGTCAGATGTAATGTCTTTTTAACACATAGGCTTTCGTACCAGATTGGCTGACATGATGACATCAAATTTATCACTATTTAAGACCGAAACAGGAGTATTTCTCCACAATTCTCCCCGGCAAAATGTCGTACTCGAATTGTAAATGTGGTGGGTTTGCTTTCCAACACACTGGTGTGCTGATCTAGTAACTAATTGTCACATTTTGTTTACATGATTCAGACGCTGTCTCCCCGACAGACCTGATCTTCACCTGAGGACAGCTGCTTGCGTTGTGGCCGAAACGTCGTGAGAATTATTTTAGTATGTTTTATTTTTATTATTTTATTACTTCCCTTCTACGTGACTTTACCGAAAGAACCAAGAAGATGATACACCTTACTAATTGGCTGTGTTGGGTGATGGTGGGTTTAACAACACACGTATATCTACGCGATCTAACCGAAACAAACCTGTATTATTAGCAATACTTCCGGTTTAATTGTGACTTGCCCCGGGCTCCACACCTCCCTATGGACTGTCTTGAACATTTGACAAGCAGATTGTGGCTTACCGTCGCTCAGCAGCTCCAAAACACTGTACACTGCCAGGAGTAGCAGTGGTGGTGGCGTTGCTGGTGGTGCTGGTGGTGCTGGTGGCCGCGGTCCGGAGCCAGCTGTGACCCAGCGCCTGCGCTGGCGTCATGCGACAATCCGGATCCCATCTGTTGAGAGGCACACGGGGGTCACACGCGGCGCACATGGTGAGAGAGGCGTTGTGAGAGCATTGACGTTCCTTCCCTTCTCCCACGAGGTCCAGGAACGCACCGCAGCAGCGGTAGTCGTGGTAGCAGCGGCAATCCTTCAATACGCAGTACTCTAAAAATGCCCTGAGCCTCGCACTGCCGAGTAGAATCTTTAATGAACCTCCAAAGAGGGCGATCTTAACACCGGTGGTACTGGTCATCGGCAGGTTCACTCAGCTCCACATCTTCCTGGTGATCGAAGGAGAGCGATCGTTGATCACCTTGGTGGGGGAAATCCTCATGGGGAGGGGGATGATTCTTACCGCAGGCAAGAGCTGACGAAATCAACAAACTCCGGGTCGTGGCTATTGAGTGCCCCGTGAAGTGACAAGCTCCCTGGCACCCTTCTCTTGACTGGGCAGAACATCATGCCCACACGATCTGCAGGAGACATGCACAGCAGGAGAGACACACAGTCACCAACCACCACTTTGCCCACCTACCCACTTACCCACCCACCCACCCACTCTCCCACACACCCATTTACCCACCCACTCACCCAAGGAATTGAAAATACAAAGAGGCCCCCCCCTTGGCCACCCCAACAGCTCCAGGCCACACCCTAACACTGAATCCGGTCGGTTGCTCGCCCCACCCTTCAACTCACCAAAGTAGTGCATTCCGTCAGGAGCTGCATCCATCATACATCTTGGAGGCAACCCGAGGATCTGCACATGGTTGAGATAAAGGCAAAGGTCACCCGTGTAGGTGCAGCAGACTGTAGGGGCAAGTGCTTTTAGTAGTGAGTAGAAACAGCAGCAACAGCAGCGGCACCAGTTGAGGGCCAGGACTGTGGCACACACAGAGAGGGGATGGTTGGCCATATTGAAGCAGGTACACACCGCACCAGGTACTCATTTGAGGCTGAGTCGAACTCGGGGATGCCCAGTACCGGTTCAGATAATCCTCACTGATGTTGGCCGTGATTTGGAATCAAACTCGCATTACCGGGTTTGTAGCCGAGCACGCTAACCGCTGCACCACTGCTTCCCCCACACGTACAAGACACACACACAACATACGATGGCTGCCATTCGCCAGGTCACCAAGTACCCAATCGCCCCCCCCCCTCTCCTACCTCCCCCCCCCCAGAGCCTACAACTTTAAGGAAGGAGGGGGGAATCACGAGTGGGTGAACGCCCAGTTGGAAATACCTCCATGCAGCACGGGAGGTGGTCGTCGCAGCTGTCCGACTGGAATAATTCCCTGCCGGTCACCAACTCCGCCACCGTGCAGCCCAGTGCCCACATGTCCACTGCACAGGTCAATCTGTAGCCCAGCAATACCTCCGGAGATTGGAATGGCCGGGTCCCACCAACATAAAGAGCTGCACAACAACCACAACAACAACAACAAATATGTATGTGTGTACTCACTATGTCATGAACAGCATCCTTGTCACACACTGTCACATGTACAGACACTAAGAGACTTGCACACACACTGGTACACAGACACACCCACACGCAGAAACTCTCACCCAGGTTAGGTTACTCACGTTGACTTTTCACAAAAAAGCTGGTGCCAAAGTCCGTGACCCTGATGGTGCCGGTCACGGTATCCTTGATTAGAACATTTTCCTAAAGCAAGAGAGGCAGAAGGAATTCACACTTGAAGGTTACGCCAATAGGATTCAGCCAGCAGTGGATCAATCACGTACCACAGTACATACTAAACAGGGGAACTAGGTGAGGCGTAGCGCCGTCGTCAACCTTCAGTCAAGTGCAACATTCCCTGTTTTCTGACAGCTGCCACTGGGGGTGCCCCTTTCAAATGCGTCATGACGAGCGATGTTCGTCGAGGCTCACATTTAAAGCTCTCTGAAGCACCATCTAAGTAAAAGGGTGCGGCTCTATAGATAACTTTTTCTAGTTGCTCACAGCTGCCCGTTAACGAGTTACGAACCAAAAACCACACTCGAGGGCGCACGGATTTAGTGACGATTTGGGAAGTTTTCCATTCACAGCATGGAAGCCAACAATGGGCACCTGTCAGTTCAAACGCGTGTTTGGCACATTTTGAAAATCATTATTTTCAGCTCCGGTTTGTGTTTCCCAAAGTTTGTGGCAACGCTGTGATCTACATTGCTGGTTTTCTCTGTGGCGAGTCCCCCAATAGCGACACGACTCTACACGACAGTTTAATTCATACCGGATCATCACCAGAGGTAACGTGACCCTGTCTCCTTCCAGATAGACGGACAGACCTAACACATCGACCCTGTGACCAACGTGGGCGGTTTTCTCTATGGTCCGAGTCCCCAATAATGACAACTCCGGAACAAAGTCGCGCTGAATGCTGTGTCCACTCACTGGCTTGATGTCCGCATGGATGATGCTCCTGGCCTTGGTGTGGCAAAGGAACTTGAGGATGCCCCTGGTGTAAGTTTTCACCATCCCCATGTGCAATTGCCGGAGCCCCGCTTCCTTAATCACATCATGGAGGCTCTCCCTGTGAAAGGCAGAAGCAACAACAACAATTACAACAACGATGCAGTGTCAGTGTCAGACCCTGCAATACTACGTGGATTATGATAACAACAATATTATTATTCTATTTGCACATTCACGACTAATATGAGTCATAGCTCCGTGTGGGTTTAGGTCATTGGTTTGCTGATAAACCGAATCAGCTAGCACTTATGACCACTTGCTTTCATTGGCTGTTTTCGGGTGGTGGAGTTATCTATTAGGAGATACAAACAAGGGGCACAAGCGTCACCACTGCGCTGCAGCCAACCTGCTGATCAAGTGGAGGTGTGGCTATATAAAAGTGGGCGGTGCTGATTGAGAAAAGAGGAGTGGCCTCTAGTGCACCTGGGGCACATGACAGCTCCACAGTATCGCAATGCGAGGTTGGCACGGGAATCCCAGAAGTAACATCTAGCCCCGGTGGTGTGATGTCATCACCCCCCCCTGGTGTGGAAGAGATCAGGGCTTTGATCCTGACCCTGACGCATGTATATTCTGAGTTTGCATGTTCTCCCCCTGGTCACGTGGATTTTTCTCCGGGTCCTCTGGTTTTTCCCTCTACATTTAGAAACATGTGTTTAGAGTATTTGGCTGCCATACATTTCCACATCAGCCACTTTTTTGAGCTATCATTTGTAGCCAGGCCGCTTGTGAAAAATAACTAATCGGGCAGTGGGCTTTACCTGCTAAATAAAATAGTTTTTGTTGAGCTAATGAAGTTAACCACGCCAAGGGGGGGGGGGGGGGTGGGGGCGGTGGGAACACATGGTACGTACTTCAACAGCTCCAGGACAATGCAGTGGTGTCCTCTGAAGTCAAAATATTTCAGGACTTTGACGACGTTGTAGTCCTCATCACTGCCCTCGCCCTGAAGTGCCAGAGCCATCTTGATCTCCATTCTCTGAAATTTATCACGCTTGGAGCTGTGCAGAGAAAATCCACAAATGAATCATGACTTAGACTTGCTTAAGGAATGACCAGAAACAAATTATATTCAGAATTAAATAATTATACGTTCCCCAAGTGTAATGTCATTGTGAGTTCCAGTAGCGCGCTCATGGAAGGTTCCAGAAAGGATAGGGAAGAGGATAAAATAAGCAAGGGATAGAGGGGGGTTTGGGGTGCTGCCTTAACGTAGTGATTCCCTAATGTGTGAATTGAGCCGACTCCGAGTATGGCCCCAGCCACACTCAGGATTTCCAGGAGCTGAGCCAAGCCACGGCTGAGCCACTCGTGTATCTTTATCAGCAGCTGAGTGGCTCAAGCCTGAGCCAAACCATGGCTGAGCTGGAGCTGAGCCTGAGTTTTAGAGACTGAGCCATAGCTGATTCGTGACTGAATGTGGCTCTCACAAAGCAAGGCATTATAACGTGGAACATCATGGGACCCTCCTTTGCCAATACCAAAATATGAGAATAGATTTTCCCCTTTTTCCTGGCAACAAAACAGGTGTTAAGATATAAAAAAACTTAAACCTTTTACAAGGAATCATGTCTGAATTAACCACAATACTTGTGGTCAGTATGCAAACAAAAAACATACTCTGATAATATATGCATTGTCTTTTAAACTGATTGGTCCACACCAGACAGCTTTCTGTTGAGTCTAGTCTCAAAACGGTGTTAAACCAGAGGACGCCAAAAGGCGTACAGCACAAAGACAAGCACTATCAGAGGAATGAGAGCTCTGGGTGAGCAGCTACATCATGGGACCTCCTTTGCCAGTATATTTTTGGTACTGGCAAAGGAGGTCCCATGATGTAGCTGCTATAACGCAGAACGCACATGTTATAACACAGAACGCGCCCGTTATGACATGGGACAACCTCATTAAAGCGTGGAACGTGCCTTTTATAGCGTGGAACGTGCCCATTATAACGTGGAAGGCTCCCGTTCAGTGGCGGCTCGTCAATAGAGGGCGCAGGGGCGCCGCCCCCATCAATATTCCAGAAATATACATATACAAAATTTATATAAAAATACATAAATAAAATATTTTTTTCATACGATGTGCCGGCTGGTAGTAAGAAAAGCATCAGCATTTAATAAAAACTGGCTTTAATCGGTCAACTATTTTCTATGTTTTTCAATGTGTTTTATGCGGGGCGCCGGACAAATGGATGTCTATGTGAGACTTTACATTTTCGGACAGCATGTGACCTGAAGCTGGTCTCTAATTGGTTTCTTAAAGATTCTCCTCGGGGCGCAAGTCGTTGCGTCCCTGGCCAATCAGAATTGGATACATGTTATTTTATCCAATCTGATTGGTTCTCGTCACCTGTCATTCAAATTTACGCTGTAGGCCACTACTGCGAGTGCGAAGGCGACACCACTTTGACACTTGCTAGGCTGATCAAATTTTTTGTGTAAACAATGGCAGCAGTTCATCCAAATTCTGTAATTTATTTACAAAAAAACCCTTTCACAAGGCTTTCGCTGGAAGAAATAAAAAAGATAAAGGATCTCGGACCGGACCAACCCGATTTACAAATCCAGCAGCAGGCCAGTGACAGAGGACGAAGCTACACACGAAGCTTCACCCGCGCTTGTTATGAGAAACGGAGGTGGCTGTCTTTTATTTCAAAGTGTCGGCACTGAAGTTTTGTGGACAACGACGGGGGTAAGAGACCTCAAACATCTCTCTGACAAATGCAAACGTCATGAAAGTAGCCGCAGCCATATTGATAATAGCATGAAACTAACGTTTTTATGTTCAAGTAGGAAACATGCTTTTTGGTACTTTGGTCTGAAATGTATATAAAAGAGAAACATTTATGTTCAAGTAGGAAACATGCTTTTTGGTACTTTGGTCTGAAATGTATATAAAAGAGAAACATTTATGTTCAAGTAGGAAACATGCTTTTTGGTACTTCTTTTGGTCTGAAATGTAAATAAAGATCATCAAAATTTATATTCAAGTAGTCAAAATGGCTTTTGGTACTGCTTTATATTTATTTGCCCCCCTCAATAAAATTTAAAAAATGCGCCCCCCCAAAAATAAATATCACCAGCCGCCACTGCTCCCGTTATAACACGGACCGCACCCATTATAATCCGGAATGCATCTGTTCTAATGCAGGAAAGCGCCCATTATAACGTGGAATGTGCCCGTTATGAAACTGCACGGCTGAGCGGTATGATACAGTAGGCGGAATGCGGAATGATAACGTGACATGACAGCATACCATCCATTATTGGTATCTTCATATCACTGTGCGTGTATTATATCTTGCAAAACTTTATCGTTACATTATATATGGGGATATTATGTTTGCTTAATGTGCTTTCCCTTAACGCGGCACTTTTCAGGAATGCATCTACCAGGTGAAATGAAGAATTAATGTAATGTAAGAGTGAACTGATCCAGAACAGGGGGAGAACATACAAACTCCACACAGGAGGGCACCCGAGTCAGGAGTCGAACCGGGGTCCCTCTGTGAGGCACGAGTTGTCACCACCTCATCACACGGCCGCCCACAGCAAAGGACTGAACAACAACGTCGTCCTTGTGACAACACCGCTCTGAATTCTTACCTCAATGGTGATACCAAGATCTTCACGGCCACCAGGGTGTTCCTCATGTGGTCAAGGCACCGGATCACCTGGCCTTGACCTCCGTACCCAATCTTCTTCAGCACCTCATAGCGGTAGTGGAGGTGCTCATGCTGGACCTGCACCAAATTACAATCATTTAGACTGACTATATTTTGAAAATCACAACATGTAAGAAGTGTGAGCATTATTTTACGAAATAATTGTTTTATTAAGTGTTTGGTTTTCTTAAATCTGTAATTGTGGAATGCTCTGATGTCTGCTGGCTGAGACACCCTTAAAAAGCGCATTAGCTCAATGGGCTTAACTTGGGAAATAAACTTGATTGTGAAGTGTGTGGGAGAGTGCATGTGTGCTGTCTCTGGTTGGTTGGTACTTCAAGTGCAATGACAAGAAGCCACGAACCTCGCGACCGCTGCGCCTGCGACCGCCCCCACGGCCGGGGCTTTGTGGCGAGTCTCACCGGAATGTAATGATGTTCGTGGTCGTCGTATCCATCGTTGTTTGGTCCCCGGGATCTGTTGCGGAGCGCAAAGTACCATACTTCCTGTATGGCGGCAAGCTCCAGCTTCTCCCGGTGGGTCATTTGAGGGCCAAAGAGAGCCAGGATTGCTGCAGGCAAGAGAATAACAACAGCTGTCGGTGATCATTTGTTTAGATTCCTTTTCAGGAGGTTCCTGCAGATGATTTACAGAGAATGGGGGTGACGCTGCTGCCATTACGTCTGCTGTGTGATGCCAATTTGAGGAATTTGCAGGGGATTTGGATGTTTTGGCCAATACCAGTTATGTCTGTATGTTGAACTTATTTTGCACCGTGTTCGGCAACCCTGCTAATCAGAAGTAAGGGGGAAGGACAATTAACTAAAAAGTTCGCAAAAATTATAGATTTAAAAGAACATCGCTCCAGTGGCTTCCTAATGTCAGAGCATTCCAGATGACTGCAGAAGCACATCTGAAAACGTGCGATGAATTGACCATCTTCGTTCGATGTCCAGCTATATGCAGCTTTGATGACGTCTTAGGTTGCTTGGATTTGACAACGGGGTTAATGAATTAGATAAAATAACACAGATATGCCAAGGATTTTATGAAATAAGAATAACTTTTACCCTTTCTGGCACAAAAACAGGTGTTAATATGTTCAAACACCAAATCGATACCTTTTGCAAGGCATCAAGTCTGCATTTACCACACATACTGGTGGAAAAATATGCAAACAAACATGCTCCGATAATATATGCATTGTCTTTGAAATTGACTGGCCTGCACCAGAGACAGCCTTCTTTATGACCTTGTCTCGCCGGTGTGAGACCAGAGAATGGCAAAAGTCGAACAGTACATCACCCATGCAACATGGCCACCATGAAGTTCCCAATGCATCATGGTCACTGTCACGTCCCCCTTGAAACATGACCGTCGTGATGTCCCACCATTCAGTGTGGCCATCTTGACGTCACTCATTTCTGTTCTTACCTTGTGGCGACTTGCTGCGGATGGAGGAGGTGCGCGCTGAGGACAGCGCACTCCACGTGGTGCAAGACTCGCCGTTACTCCGAGCCTCTCCAGCTCGGCTGATCTACACACACACACAAAAAGGTCCACCACTAGAGCTTGAGGAGTGAGTGGGACTCGGGCAGGACGAGCCATGGCCAGGATGAACAACAATGGCTGACAGTCAAGAATAATAACAGCGACAACCAAGGAACGGAACACATCAGAGAGGAGAGCCGCCAGAGAGATGGTGCTACGAAACCGGCGCTTGGCAGATTATTCCATCACAGGATGTGAGGGGTAGCAGGGTCTCAGGGAGCGAGGCGTTCATCCATCAGTGGATAGATAACAGTGCTGTAGATGCTCACGCGTAGACGGGCACGTACACCAACAGGATCTCGGAGAGACACTGATAGACGCACACACACTCAGGCGGGCAAGGAGAAGCACATCCAGGTATACAGGTCACAGGTAGGCACACGCAGAGGGGAGAACACACGTCCACCCATACTTCACCACACAAGTCGAGGAGCCACATGTACCTCCATGGTAGCAACTTGCAGACGAGGGTGCTCAGAGCTCACGGTGTCTCTCGCGCGGTCCGGGTCTCTGCGTGGAGAGCGGGAGACAGAGGCGAGGGTCACAGAGTCGAAGGGGCGTGACAAACCCACGTCTAAACACACGTCACTTCACAATGCGGACTCTCATCATCAACACAGACTCACATCCTCACCAGTCACCCACAATACGAAAAACACAAAAAGCAACAACTGCCTTTCCTCAGCATGCCTGGCAAGGCGGTGTTGAATAATCCTTGCCAGGACCTTTCCCGGCACACTGAGGAGTGAGATGCCCCTGTAGTTGTTACAGTCTGTGCGGTCTCCCTTCTTAAAGATGGGGACCACCAGGGCATCCTGCCACCTCACTAACACCACCACCACTAATACCACCAACACCACCATCACTAACACCAGTAACACCACCACTATCACCACTAATAACAACCACAATCACTAACACCACCATCACTAAAACTAACACCACCACCATCACAAGCACCACCCCCACTAATACCACCAACATTAACACCACCACTCCTCCCCCTGCCAGTATGGGACACCAAAGACAAAGAAGGCTCAGCTAATCGAGTCTCTCACCTTTCTAAAGAGATGCGGTGACTCTAAGGTAATACCAATCGCATTTACACTAACCTCTGCTGCTGTAACTTCTTCTAATGCTAAACGAATTATGTCTAGAACTAGCTTAGCTCTTATCTCAGAGAAAATCAGACCTACGCGCACCGAACTAGATCAGTTAGACAAGACACTCTACAAATCACACTTATCTTTGACTGCAACAATGTCCACATAGGATTGGGAACATGTAGACAATATGACTGCCTCTTCAGCTGCCGCTATGTCGACCAAATGTAAGGACAACTTGATTTCCAAATTCAACCGCCTCTCAAATAAGAGACCGGACCCACACACTGAAAAGCTAGACGTTAACAAAGTCGTAATTAATCGCTAATCCTGCATAATGCACGGGCATAATATAACTTTGAAACCCCCCGCCAAACCTCCTACGCATTTCACAAGTAGTACTAATCACATACCTGAATTTCCCATAAATATGCTAAATTCCTCTTGATATGCAAATTATTTTGTCAAGGCGCCCTTCCCCCCTTCCAACCCAGCTTAAATATACGCTCCAAGCGTGGTGGTGTTTCATTCAGACGTTGTCTCCCCGACAGACCTGGTCTTCACTTGAGGACGGCTGTTTGCGTTGTGGCCGAAACGTCGTGAGAATTATTTTATAATGTTTTATTTTTATTATTTTATTAATACCCTTCTACGTGACTTTACCGAAAGAACCAAGAAGATGAATCCCTGCAGTCACGAAAGCTTTAAATCGAAATAAAAAACAAAGATCCCCGTAGAGACTTAACAGTCTGTAGGGGAAGTGCTGTTAGCCAGCAGTGCGTATGAAGGCTGGCACGACACACGAGGGGGTTGGATTGCCAGCACCACGCCCGGCCGCCTTTGTCTCCCTAGTGGCGACCTTTACACACCGCACCAGGTACTCATTCGAGGTTGAGTCGACCTAGGGGAGGCCCAGCACCGGTTCAGATAATCGTCACTGCTGTTGGCCTTGAGAGAGAATCCACCTCGGGGTCTCGCAGTTAATAGCGCGGCACGCTGTCAGCTACACGACCGTTCCACACACACACAGACTCACACAGATAGACTCACACACACACAGACTCACACAGAGAGACTCGCACACACAGACTCACACAGAGAGACTCACACACACACAGACTCACACAGATAGACTCACACACACACAGACTCACACAGAGAGACTCACACACACAGACTCACACAGAGAGACTCACACACACACAGACTCACACAGAGAGACTCACACACACACAGACTCACACAGATAGTCTCACATACACACAGACTCACACAGAGAGACTCACACACACACACAGACTCACACAGAGAGACTAACACCACCACCACCACTCACCCACACCTCGGTTCAACTCCTCACCTGCTCTGGGGTCTGTCGGCGCCTCTCTAACGGGCAAACTGCCAGTGGGAAGCACGTGGCGCGAGACGCGGGGGCGGTACAAGGTAACCACGCCCCCCCGTGATGTCACAGCCATTAGCTCCTCCCCCCCACCTGAGCTCCTCCCCCCATGCCTCCTCTGCCCCCCACCCGAGACCCCCCATGTACCCCCCTCAATACCCCCACCATGACCGTTCCACACAGACAGACTCACACACACACAGACTCACACGGAGAGACTCACACACAGAGACTCACACAGCCACCACTCACCCACAGCTCGGTTCCACTCCTGCAGAAGACCGACTCAGTGTAGTCCCAGGGCTTGCGAGCTGGTTTTCAGTCTCCAACGGCTCTTCTGCTCCAACGACTGCCTCGAGCTCTCACACGCACCGCCTTATATAGCCAACTGCCCCCCGAGGGGCGGGGCTGTATGCGGACGTTTATGTAGACACCCCACGCACGGATGTAGACACCGCAACGTAATGGCTTGCTACCCCCCGGTACGTAACACCTCTAGATCTCGATTTAAAGCTTTCGTGACTGCAGGCATTCATCTTCTTGGTTCTTTTGGTAAAGTCACGTAGAAGGGAAATAATAAAATAATGAAAATAAAACATAATAAAATAATTCTTACGACTTTTCGGCCACAACGCAAGCAGCCGTCCTCAGGTGGAGAGCAGGTCTGTCGGGGAGACAGCGTCTGAATGAAACACCACCACGCTTGGAGCGTATATTTAAGCTTGGTTGAAAGGGGGGAAGGGCGCCTTGACAAAATAATTTGCATATCAAGAGGAATATAGCATATTTATGGAAAATTCAGGTATGTGATTAGTACTCCTGTACTTGTGAAATGCGTAGGAGGTTGGGCGGGGGGTTTCAAAGTCATATTATGCCCGTGCATATGCCAGGATTAGCAGCATCAAAGGGAGGGGATAGGGGTAGCATTAATACAGGGAAGGAATGTTAATAGTAATGTAGCTGCAGTAACTAAACCAACCACGTAAACAACTAAAGTATAACTACGTAGACATCTCTAACGGCCAAACTGCCAGTGGCGCGAGACGCGGGGGCGGTACAAGGTAACCACGCCCCCCCCGTGATGTCACAGCCATTAGCTCCTCCCCCCATGCCCCCCCCTGCCTCCCCCTCGCGACCACCCCCCTGCACCCCCCCCCGTGATGTCACAGCCATGAGCTCCTCCCCCCATGCCCCTCCCCCTCACCCCCCATGCCCCTCCCCCTTCACCCCCCCATGCCCCCCCCCTGCCTCCCCTCGCGACCACCTTCCATGTCCCCTCCCCTCACCCCCATGCCCCTCCCCCCTCACCCCCCCATGCCCCTCCCCCTCCCCCCCCATGCCCCTCCCCTCACCCCCATGCCCTCCCCCCTCACCCCCCCATGCCCCTCCCCCTCCCCCCATGCTCCCCCCTCACCCCCCCATGCCCCCCCCCCCTCACCCCCATGCCCCTCCCCCCTCACCCCCCCATGCCCCTCCCCCCATGCCCCTCCCCCTTCATGCCCCTCCCCCCCCCCCCCCCCCCTGCCCCCCCCCCTCCCCCCCCCATGCCCCTCCCCCTCACCCCCATGCCCCTCACCCCCCCATGCCCCACCCCCCTCCCCCCCCATGCCCTCCCCCTCACCCCCCCCATGCCCCTCCCCCTCACCCCCCATGCCCCTCCCCCTCACCCCCCATGCCCCTCCCCCCCCCCCCCTGCCCCTCCCCCCTCCCCCCCCATGCCCCTCCCCCCCATGCCCCTCCCCCCCCCCCCCTCACCCCCATGCCCCTCCCCCCCATGCCCCCCCCCCTCACCCCCCCATGCCCCCCCCCTCACCCCCATGCCCCTCCCCCCTCACCCCCCCATGCCCCTCCCCCTCACCCCCATGCCCCTCACCCCCCCATGCCCCACCCCCCTCCCCCCCCATGCGCCTCCCCCTCACCCTTCATGCCCCTCCCCCCACCCCCCACGCCCCTCCCCCTCACCCCCCATGCCCCTCCCCCCCCATGCCCCCCCCCCTCACCTCCTTCCCCTCCCCCCCATGCCCCTCCCCCCTCACCCCCCAATGCCCCTCCCCCCTCACCACCATGCCCCTCACCCCCCATGCCCCACCCCCCTCCCCCCCCATGCGCCTCCCCCCTCACCCTTCATGCCCCTCCCCCCTCACCCTCCATGCCCCTCCCCCCTCACCCCACCCCATGCCCCTCCCCCTCACCCCCATGCCCCTCACCCCCCCATTGCCCCACCCCCCTCCCCCCCCATGCGCCTCCCCCTCACCCTTCATGCCCCTCCCCCTCACCCCCCACGCCCCTCCCCCCTCACCCCCCCATGATGCCCCTCCCCCTCACCCCCATGCCCCTCCCCCCTCACCCCCCCATGCCCCACCCCCTCACCCCCATGCCCCTCCCCCTCACCCCCCCCATGCCCCTCACCCCCCATGCCCCTCACCCTTCATGCCCCTCCCCCCCACCCCCCATGCCCCTCCCCCCTCACCCCACCCCCATTGTGACCCTCCCCCTCACCCACATGCCCCTCACCCCCCCCATGGACCCACCCCCCTCCCCCCCCCATGCCCTCCCCCTCACCCTTCATGCCCCCCCCCACCCCCCCACGCCCCTCCCCCTCACCCCCCATGCCCCTCCCCCCTCCCCCCCCATGCCCCTCCCCCCTCCCCCCCATGCCCCTCCCCCCCATGCCCCTCCCCCCTCACCCCATGCCCCTCCCCCCCATGCCCCTCCCCCCTCACCCCCCCATGCCCCACCCCCCTCACCCCCATGCCCCTCCCCCCTCACCCCCCCATGCCCCTCCCCCTCACCCCCATGCCCCTCACCCCCCCATGCCCCCCCCCTCCCCCCCCCCATGCCCTCCCCCTCACCCCATGCCCCTCCCCCTCACCCCCCATGCCCCTCCCCCCTCACCCCCCATGCCCCTCCCCCCCCCCCATGCCCCCCCCCCCTCACCTCCCATTCCCCCTCCCCCCCATGCCCCTCCCCCCTCACCCCCATGCCCCTCCCCCTCACCCCATGCCCCTCCCCCCCCATGCCCCACCCCCCTCCCCCCCCATGCGCCTCCCCCTCACCCCCCTGCCCCTCCCCCTCACCCCCATGCCCCTCCCCCCTCACCCCCCCTGCCCCTCCCCCTCACCCCCATGCCCCTCACCCCCCCATGCCCCCCCCCCTCCCCCCCCATGCCCTCCCCCTCACCCCATGCCCCTCCCCCTCACCCCCCATGCCCCTCCCCCTCACCCCCCCATGCCCCTCCCCCTCACCCCCTGCCCCTCCCCCTCACCCCCATGCCCCTCCCCCTCCCCCCCATGCCCTCCCCCTCACCCCCCATGCCCCACCCCCCTCCCCCCGCTGCCACTTCCGCTGGGGTCGGGGCCGAGTGGAGGCGGCGCGCGCAGTGCATTGTGGGTGGCGAGCGGCTGGTTTGGATTCCCGCTCACGGCCACCGTCAGTGGCGAGCGGAAGCTTCTGAAGCGGCGGCTCGCTGGGCCTCCTCTACGTCGACTCAGCCTGAAGGTGAGAACCTCGCGCGGTGTGTCCACATCAGCAGTGGCGGCGGCGGTGGGAGGACAGGGGGCGCCTGCCCACAGACGTCACGTTCTGCAGTTCACGGCGCAGCTTCAAGCAGAGCTCGGCCCTGCTGCTGCTGCTGTTTGGTTACATTATAGTTGTGGTTACATTATAGTTGTGGTTACATTATAGTTGTGGTTACATTATAGTTGTGGTTACATTATAGTTGTGGTTACATTATAGTTGTGGTTACATTATAGTTGTGGTTACATTATAGTTGTGGTTAAGTTATAGTTGTGGTTAAGTTTAGTTGTGGTTACAGTTGTTGGTCGTGGTTATTGTTGTGATTATAGTTGTGTGGTTGTTACTGTGTGGTTGTGCAGGTGGTGGCACACGATTAACCCATAGCACCAGGGTCTAGCCCTCCTCTTGTACCGAGCCAGGCAGAGCAGTCGGCCCATGGCACCTGAGTCTGGCCCGTGACCTCCTCCTGCACTTAGCCTGGCACAGCCGTCAAACCATGGAACCTGAGTTATGTGGTGACGTCACCGCCACGTCGTAGTGAATGGCGACTGTTAATGTGTGTTGGCTTGTGTGTGAGTATGATGGTGAATGCGTGAGTATGATGGTGAGTATCATGGTGATGTGATGGTGAGTGTATCGTGGTTGGTGAGTAATACTGAGTGTGAGTTTGACTAATTATCTTCCCTCTCGCTGTCTCTGCTTTCCCCCCTAACTACCTCGCCTGGTATACAGGAGTTTGTAGGTTCGATCCCGACTCTGATGCCTGCTGTATATTTGGAGTTTGCGTGTCTCTGTCTCTCCCCGTGGTCGCGTGGATTTTTCTCCGGGTCCTCCGGTTTTTCTCTCCACATTAAGATACATTCGTTTAAAGTTTTGACTTAAACTTTCGTGAGTGCAGTAATTCATATTCTTGCTTCTTCGGTAAAGTCACGTAAATAGAAAACAAAACAAATTTATTTTTTAAAGTAAAAAAAATGAGATAAATTGAAAATAATAAAGCAATTTTCGATTTATTTGCATTACTCATTTTTTTTTTTGGTTTTCTATTTACGTGACTTTACCGAAAGACCAAGAATATGAATATTCGTTTAAAGTATTTGGCTGCTATATTTACACGTGATGATGAGCCACTTCGTTGAGCTATTATTGGTGGCGTCGCTTCTGAATAAGTAATATTTAAAAGTACTTTTTTTTAAACACGCTTTAATAATTAAATGAAATGTCCACGACTCCAGGAAGTGGCCCTGATGCTTGCCATAATGTAAGGGGCCGTGGTGATTTACAGCCAACGTCAGTTGAGCGTGGACAATTAGACCCAAGCCGAAACATAACATAAAAATGAATTTTTAAAAATACTTTTTTTCATAGAATGTAGTTTTGTCATCATATGACATAAGTATACCAAGTTTGCAGTCGATACCACATTGGGAAGTGGGTTAAAATTGAGTTGCAAGATTTGA